AGCAGCAGCTCCGGTCCGGAGCTATGTCCGTGGGGGTGGAAGAGAGACCCCAGCTGATGCCTCCCTTTGCTGGGTCCCAGCCCAGGCCATAGGGGAGAAGATGCCGTGATGCCCATGGGCGCTACCCAGCCCCTCATTGGCAGCCTCAGCAGAGAGACCGAGGGCTGGATGGGTCATGGAGACTGAGCACCCACCTCCCCATTACACTGAGTCCCCCCCAGACAGGGCTCCAGCGGGATGGGGCTGTGTGGAAGGGGGAGCTCTCCCTACCCCAGCTCTGGGCTCCCACAGTGGACTCGGGGCCAGGGGGCACAGACCCAGCACCGCCCAGTGGGACATTAAAAGCAGGTTCTGCAGAGACCCCAGAGGAAACATAGTGGGTGGAAAACTCCCCACTCCCTTCCCCACATCCGCCTGAACTTCCTCATTTCTCTTTCACGCCTTCTAGCTACAGCTAGGCAGGTCTGAAGGTCGGCTGATGGGTTCTCCCCCCTCTTACACTTACACAGATGGGCTGTAGTTTATTTGCCGTGGTGTATTTCCCAGCGTGGGGGGTGGGTGTTGGGCAGTGAAATGAGGCAGGTTTGCAATCATGTCTCTCTAGGACTCATCTCTTCCCCCTTCTTCTTATTCCATCATGGCCTCTCCCTCTGCACTGACCCCTCTGCATCTGTTCTAGATCGCCCGCCGGCCCCCACGCTCTCTCTGGACACCAGGTACACAGTGTATCTCCCAGGGGAGCGGGTTACCCTCACATGCTCGGCTCCTGAGCCTCAGCGGGTTTCGGGATACAGATTCTTCTCTCAAGAAGGGCAGCAGGACCCCAGCGTAGTCCAACACCCAAATGAAGGTGCCCGGCTGGAGCTCACAGCTGAGAAGGGAAATGCTGGGACATACACCTGTGCGTACTGGAGACAGGAATCCAATCGAGAGATCTCATCTAGGAACAGCAACTCCGTCTCCATCAGAGTGACAGGTGAGCCCCAGTTTTCCTGCAGTTTGATGGGAGAGTCTCTAGGGATCTGACGCCCACCCTGTGACAGAGCCTCAGCTGCGGTGCTCTAGAGCCGCTCTGGAGCCGTGCCTGGGAGGGCCCCTTCCATGTGTCAGCCCCCATAGGGTCACAGTCTCACTAGGGGCCATTTGGCTGCAGCACCTCCTGGGACTGAACCTTGGAGCCTTCAGCACCCCTGGGTCACATCTCGAGCTCCCCGCAGTGACACTACCTCATTGCACACCTGAGACAGACACTTGCACACCCAAAGGGAGCAACGCGCCCCCACCTTCCTTAAAGTGCAGTGGCTCTCAGCTAGTATGGTAACAGCAGGAGGTTTATTGGCTATTTCGGAACCAGCGTAGAAAGTCCTTAGTTACCGTAGAGAACAGAAAGTTACAGCAAAGTCCATCTGGGGCAGTCCAGAGT